TTTTTTTTTTTTTTTTTTTTCGATTTTAGATCGATGTAGCAAAATGTCGAATGATCGAATTAATCGAGGAAAACGTTTGGAATGATCATACACTGACGTATCTGAAAAAAAAAAAATATTGTTAATATTTCTATTCTCTATTACAATTATAATTATTACAATATCATTATTGTTTATTTTCATTTTATAGAAGATAAAGAATATTCGAAATGGCATGTTCAAGATATTAGAACTTCGCATAAGGGTCTCGCGTTACGTAAACGATCGAGAAGAGAAAAGTCAATTCGCGAATATTTATGATGCAACGATTACAAGGAATAACAGCGAAACGAATCAGGGAACGGTCCCCTTGGATTATGTCCCCTTTTTGCTATTATAGGGAACCACCCATGCATGAGGTATTATCATACAAATATAATCCCCATACGCCCTTACGCGAAATAATATTTGTCCCGATCGTCGTACGACCAATTATCTTAACTTACGTGATATATCAACCCTTACATACGTGTTTACACTTATGTGTATATACATATATATATGTACATATGTGTACGCATAAAAGTTTGACATAAGTACTTTTATTATTCGACATTGTTTGTATGGCGGGATAAATAGTGGCGATTTTCTCAAAAGTTTTGATTGAATCGTAAATAAAACAATCAAAGCTCCATAGTTATTGAAATATATAGAGAGAACATACCGAAAATATTCTTTTTGAATAAATATTCTTTTTCTAATATTATCTTATTTTCTTTTTTATTTTAGAATAAAATGTGATTTTATCAAAAATTATGAAACCAAGGAGATTTAATATTTTCGGACAATACCAACTGTACAATAAAAACAAAATTTCTTCTGAAAAAAAAAATTCCACGTAACGCAATTGCTAAGCTTAAGCGGCGAGAATGTATGAGGCCCCATAAAATGCAGCTCGAGAACAGAAAGAATCTGTTGGAGAAGGATCAATTGGGGTATATACGTGTTCACTTATAGGGAACGCGATAACACAGCGAAACCATTCTCGGTTTCCCGACTCCTACGAAACAGTTGGCCCCCTGATTGGTCATCTCTGTGTGATCGAGCACGTTACACATCGACGTCGTGTCGAGCAACGACACGCGTTCTCCGTTTCTCTGTCCACGGGTTCCGCGCGGTCAAACGGCCCGTGAAAATCTTCTAAATCAATTTCTGCGCCGGCATTTATCGAGTCGCGTCCCTCAATCTCGTTGGATTTAGGATGAAAACGAATGACCTTCGACTACTAGGATCGATAGTCCTCTCCTACGCGGATATCGGCTTGGCTTCTGCATTTGTCTCGATAGGGAGGGAAAAACGTCGGCCCAAACTCGATTTCGTCTAAATCTACCGCCCCTACGTTCTTTATACCGCCCCTGGTTTAACATCTTTACCGTAATTTTCTTGATTGCCCGCCGCGTTATCGCACGAATACAGCCTCGAATATTTTATATATAATAAAAATTCGATAATAGTAATTGGTGGTATTTTTAAAGATATTCGTCGATAGATTAAAATTTAGTTATTCTTTCTGATAAATGGGAGGATGTGTATGTGTTTTTGAGATCAATAAGATAATCTGTTCAAAGATAATTTTTAAAAAAATTAATGTGGAGTTGTTATAATTTCTTTGACGCTATTAATATAAAGCTTTTTGGAATATAATTATTAAAATTAAGGTTATTAACTTACTATTTTTAGCTTACTATCTTCTATTATCAGATTTAGTGTAATATAATTTGAAAAATTTCAAAAATCAATTTGGAAATCGAATCGACAATTTTATCAAATTCAAGTTTCGCTCCAATAATGGGAACAAGATCATTCACATCATTTCAATTAAAAAAGAATTATAACTACATTTATTTTAAGTAAATTCTTAATGAAAATATATATCCACTAATTGACTTACAATAAATAAGAAATCTATCGAAATATCTTAAATGTCACCAATACAATACAATAAAACCATCTTTCTGCACTCAATAATACAGAAGCAAAGCAAACATATACTAATAATCCCATAATACCTCGTATTCACCCCACACTCCACAATCCCCTTCCTCCATGCCAACCGTTATCAAAGGGACGTCCAAGCAAGATTTAATTAAGAATTCTTCAAACTAGACATCCGAGCAGGATTTCGCGCGGGCCCCTCTATCCCTGCGGGGCCCGATATATCCGAAGAATCAACGTCAGAACGCCAGAAACGAAACGTCAGGGCACGACGGCGCACCATGGCGCGGAGGATACAGAAAGGAAAGACAAGAGGAAGATGAGACATTGGAAGGTTCGCGTTTCGAGCCGGTAGCACGAACAAGCGTCCTCTTGGCCTCCTTCTCGGCACCGGCAAAGCATTCCTCGTGTCAGAACTTCACAAAGATCCTCCGGTTAACAGAGAATCGAGAGACTAAGAAGGAGAGAAAGACCAGCGGGATACTTCGACGAGGGGCTACTGGTTTCTCCGCGAGATTCTTGATGAGAAAACGCGTGGTTTCGTTCCTTCGTCAAAAAATCGCTGCGTGCTCCCGTAAGAGCGTCACAGCGTGAGTTTTGTGCCCTCTATCCACGATATGTCCATATAAATTTCAGCGACGTTTCGTCGGGATCCTGAAAATATATTTCTAGTAAAAAAAGGAGGAAGAAAAAGAGAGTAAAAAAAGAAAAAGAAAAATAAAGGGAAACTGAGACGATCGATGGATAGATTTGTCAATCAATTTAATTTATTGGAGTAAAACAAAGATTAAGTAATATATCAAGAAATGTAAGAAATATTGAAAGATATATAGTTATAAAGATGCAGGAAGTATTACTCACTAATAATATCATCAGTTCATTTTATCTCCAATTTTTGAGGTACATATGCTTTTAAAAATTTAAATTAGGAATCGTGAAAGAAGACATTTTTTTTATTTTACTCATAAGAAATATTTGTGTCTTTCGCTTCTTATAATCCAATGAAGCATAAAATAAAGCATAAAAAAGAGAAGCCAGCATCAATTCTTAGAATATTTACCTTCTTGGATAACTGATGTATTTTGTATCCCAATTTTGCAATGATTATACTTGCAAGTTATATTATCTTATTTGTAAATAAAACTTTCTATAAATCAGCTTTTCTATTTTCATAATTGTAAAAAATAGCCAATCTGCATTTCTTTTACAAAATTTCTTATAAGACACAATATTTTACCTGTGTATGAAAAGAAATTAGATTAGATTATTTTTTATTATGTTATATCAAAAATAATTATTCCTTATCATTATGTAATGTGAAGTAAAAAATTGTCATTGATAGTGTTTTCATCTGCATTTCATCAAAAATGAACATTCAAAGTGATCAGTGAACAAAATAAAATTATTTTCTACTTTTAATGAATAAGATTCATCCATCAGTAATGAAAGCAATGGCAAGTCTAAACTTATCCAATAACAAATAACCAGTTCATAACATGTAGTATAATTGTGCATATCCAAAGTGAAAAGTTTAAATTCGTCTTAACTCAATCTAATACTTACGAATTTAATCGTTGAACAAATATTTATCTATAAATATTCCAATTTTCATTTTTCTTATAAAGATGAATAAATTATTCAGAATGAATATCCAAAATGAAAAAGTGTAAATTCGCCTTAAGAGAGCAGCTTCTCCTGTGTCCGTAGAATATGACAATAAGATCGGTCAGACCGGTGACAGGGGTGGTTCGAGTTCTCGTGTGTTACATGCGCTACGTGGAAAGGGCGAAACACTGGACGAGCCATTCCAATGTGAAAGAAAGAGAAAAGAAACGGACAGATGGACCACCCCGTCTGCCGGCGATCATGTCTCGATCACGTAAACTAGCCGCCCCCTCATCCATCATGCCTTCGTCGTACATTGTCATGTGTGACCAGCCCGATCTCCTTTTTCTTCCTGCATCCTCTTCCTCTTCGTGCTCCTCGCCCTTTCAGCTTGTTCCACTGTCTTGTTCCGCCAATGGCGTATCTCGTGTCGCAGACTCGAGATCTCGGTGCAAATTGGCAGGGAAAAACAAACGGCGAGACCTGGCGAGGCCGACGTAAACGTACCGATCAGGGGTGGCCAAGGTCTCAAGATTCATAATTAGAGTCAGCGTCGTCTCGTGCTGCACCGCTCTGCAACGAAGATTAGAGAAATTAATTTATGTGTGTATATATTCCATTTTTTAGAAGAAGAATCTGCGTTAATAATAGTTGGAATCCGTTGGAGATTTGAATTTAATTAATTTATTTCATACAGTAAATTTTATTTTGTCATCAGTTATATTGAAAGACAAAAAAAAGTTGTAATAAAAAAAATCGAATATTAATGAAATTGATAATTTTTGTGAATAAGAATGTTATATCAATTTAAAAGATTTGATAAACATCAAATTTGGATTCTCTATTTAGAATATCGTCGTAATTCAATAAATGAATTCTTATAAATCACTTTTTTAATTTTAAAATGTTTTTAAAAATAATTCTCATGTTTTTAAAAATAAATTATTTTTCAGTACAATCAGAAAATAAAGCATACATCTCTGAACAATATATTGTAATTGTTACTGATGTATATAAATGTTAATAATTTAATGATATATTTCAATTCAAGTTATTCAAAACGAATAATTTACCGGGAAGATTTATAATTGTATCATGCACCATGTTCTAGTCTGTTTTCAATCTTTAGATTACACAGTCTGGTCACCCCAAGCTGGACAGTACATTGCTAATTGCTGATTGATCGTTTCTGAATAACGCAATTAATTCAACGAGAATCCTGTTACTTGTACAATAACCTTAAAAAGAAACAAAAAAGATCAAAAATTTATTTGTATTTTTCTCATTAATATGTATTTTTTCTTTGATATCTTCTAATAATTTTAAAAATAATAATAAAAGATAAAAATCTTGATACAATATAATTTTTTATGTTATTTAAAAAAAAAATCAATGAAACTTTATAAAATAATTAAAATTTACAAAAAGCAAAGTTTCTATCTTATCCATAATTCCATCTTATGGAATTTATATATTTAAATCTTCCAATCATTAATATCCCAATCTCAAAACTTTGCCACAAACACAACGGTATGAAAATTATTATATTACACAACTTTAAAAATCTCTTTCAAAAGAGAAATCTCTGTGCAGAGAGAGAGATATCGAGAAACTTGAGTACCGATGCAGCGGTCGATCACACAAAGGGTGAGAAACGAAGGGCAGA